CACACACACACACACACACACACACACGTGTTTATAAAAGCTGGCAGCTCAGATGTTATTGAACAACTGAAAAGCCCGGAGCTCTTCTACACATCTCTACATCATCATACCTATGGTTGTGAATGTTGAGAACGTTTTTAGCTGATACTTCACCTCCTATAATCTCTAGGAACAGAATCTGTGGAAGAGGGACACGATTTTAAAGCGTCCTGGTTTCTGTTTCTGTTGACCTTTCGTGTTTGAGCAGGCGTTTTGTTGAATATTAATGTAGCTTGAGGTTAGCCAAAATGTTTTCCGGATCTAAAACACCTACAAAAAGCATCGCTGTTTGTGTCATGAGGAGAAACGTTTGACTCGTGTGATTAAAGGAAACTTGTCCGTTGCCCCCAGAAGCGCTGAGATTTCTCCTCCTACTATTCACTCACCTCCTTTAGATTTTTTTTTTTTAAAATCTAAACTCTCCTTTGGTGTCTTTATATATTCATTCAATGAAAAGTACGTCAGGCAGATTTCCTTTTTGCGAACACAATCATCATGCCAATGTTTTTTTTTACTCATGTTTTTCTGGTCTCAGCACAAGTTCAGCTCACTGAACAACTTAATCCAGAAACAAATCAACAATCAAGTCTCAGTTTCCTGTAATCCACAGGAAATAATCAAATTGAATTAAGTCACTCAGTTAAAATGTAGTATGGTTACCACAGTGTGACCTACGCTGGAATGCAGCCTCTTGAGGACAGAAGGCAGGAGTCAGCTGCTCCACGACCATGTGGGAATATTTATCACCGTCCTCAGGAAACCAGACTGATCCAGACTGTTTCTTGGCAGAAGATGTTAAAATATGAGTTTGTTATTGAGCTCAGCTTTAACAACTCCAGATTCAATACAATACATTTACAGTTCATGTGTTTTAAAACAACGTTCATGTTAAATCTCACACACACACACTGGTTTTTAGTGCATCCACATTACCACTGTTAACATTCTTCAACTAACGATTAGTGACATTTCTGATTAATGTGGCGATTTCATTTATCTATTAAAGGTCATAAAATTGTGAAAATGTGCTTCATGTTCCCAGAAAACCGAGCTGATGATTTGTCTAACCTGCGTTTCACAACCACAGAATATTCATCGTGACACGTGAGAAGCTGAAATCAGATTGTTGCAGTTTATCTGGATAAATAACTTGATGATAATAAATAGAGTATTGTACAACTCTGACCATTATTTAGATTCCCCCTCACACACACAAAGTAGAAACACCTAAATGTAAGTCTCTGATGATGATGATGATGTTTTGTTTCTCTCTCTCTTCAGCCGGGTAAAGACAGTATGTGGCTTCCCATCCTCGTGGTTCTGCGCGTCGTCTTCATCCCTCTCTTCATGCTGTGTAACGTTCAGCCTCGTCACTACCTCCCCGTGCTGTTCAGCCACGACGCCTGGTACATCATCTTCATGATCTTCTTCTCGTTCTCCAACGGATACCTGGCCAGTCTCTGCATGTGCTTCGGACCCAAGTAAATAACGCAGACACACACACACACACACACACACACACACACACANACACACACACACACACACACACACACACACACACACACACACACAGTTTAACCTGACTCTCATCATTGCTCCTCTAAATTTAAAAACCTGTTTCTTTGGTCGGAGTTGTGCCTGAATTAAACAAAGGGGTCAGAATTAAGCTGTAGTTTTCAGATAACGCAAAGACTTGACACTAAAACATTAAAGTATGAAGTTTATGTTATGAAATGTGAGTTAAAGTTAAAACCCTCCACACTCACACAACCTCACACGTAACTCCTAAAAACAAAGTGAAGATATTTCCTGTAGTGTCGAACTGTGAGCGACACAGAGTTCTACTTTCCAACAAACATCATTAATGGTGAACCACACGTTCTTAATGAGTTGTCTCCCTCTGTTGTCTGCGTACAGGAAGGTGCCGCAGCACGAGGCAGAGACGGCGGGGGCCATCATGGCCTTCTTCCTGTCGCTCGGCTTGGCGTTGGGCGCCGCAGTCTCGTTTGCTTTCCGGGCCATGATCTAAAACCTCCGGTGGAACGTTGAGCAGACGAAGAGTAGACGACCCCCGTCCTCCATCAATTTTCCCCGTCATGAACCTTTCAACATCCGGACTAACTGAGCTCCTCCGACTGAGAGGAGGCAGCACAGACGACCAGAGAATCTCTGACTTCTGACGTGTACAGTCACCATGGCAACTAAATAAGCTGAAAAGTTACTGAATAGTTTTTATTTAGTTTTAATTTGCTCCAAAAACTTAACTGTTCTGGGTTTTTTGTTGTTTTTGTATTTTTTTTATCAATGCTACTGATCAAAGTGTTTATTATTTTTTTTAAGATGAAACCAAAAGATTTAAAAGAAAAAAAAGAAAAAGGTTTTAGTGAGCTCATCATCTGGAAGACGACTAAACGAAATCAGACAACGGCCGAATGTGGAGCCGGACAGTGAACAGAGACGTTCTGCACACTGACCCTCAGAGCCCTCGTTCAAAAACCTTTTGCACAAAAAAATTGAAAATTGTGTTAATGAAGTTGAAAGTAATTTTTTTTATTCTCAGAATTCACATGAAGTTCGGGGCTCTGCGATGCAGGTGTTCGGCTCGTCTCCGTTAACTGAACACTCAAGACTTGTTCATCAGTGAACTGAGATGTCAATGATTTTATACATCGAGCACGAAACAACAAACAGGACGTCGCTCTGTTGTGACTGTTGCAGCTTTTAACTCTGATCAAGCCAAATACACAAAGACGTGGGAAAACGAGAAACTCTGAACGGAGGTCAAGACCCACAAACCTGCTCCCTCCGTCTGCTTCAGTGTCGACTCGGGCCACTTCTACTAAAAAAACAAAAAAACAGATGAATGTAAGGACGGACTGAATCCTGCAGAAGTTTAGTGTTAACCTTCGGAAAGTTACTCCCCTGTAGTTTTATATGAAGTTTGACATCTCTGTCTGGTTATATGAAAACATCCTCTGTGCCGCCCTCTGAGGTCTTCATCTACATTTTCAGGACACTGTTAAAACACCAGTATTTTGAACGCAGTGAAAAGTTGTCAGTGACACAAAATGTGCCATAGTGAGTGAGAGAGACTGTTTAAACCTCACTGCTTTCTTTTGTTCTATCTGTGCCATTTTCCTTCAAACGTGTTCTCTTGTAGAATGAGAATTTATACCAGAATTAGTTATTAGTACTGAAGGTGGATAAAGAGCCGTCGTCTGCTTGCATGTGATATTTTTGGATTTTTGTTGCTTTTTTTAAAAAAAACTTCTGCTTTAGTTCTGCACAATATTCACAAAACCAGCTGCGTGCATCATGATGTTGGTCGAACCATGGAAATGTTACTTTGATTGCAGCTTCAAACAGTTCAGTGCTAAAATAAAACTGTATTTTTAAAACTCTGGCTCGTCCTGGTGGTCATTAGTGGAAACAAACTGCTCATCAGGACACATCGGTTCCTGTGAGATTATCGCTGCTGATACCAACTGTTCTGTATCTAGTTCCCGTAGTGGAGCAAGTGAATGTATGTAACGATCAGATAACGGAAAATCATCAAGTGACACCTTCAACGTCTTAACCTTTTGTACTTGTACTTAGTAAAAACTCTTAATATAAAACCAGTGCCAGATTGTAGTGAGGTAAAAATTTGTGGTATTTGAATTTTTTTGGGGTAGAGGAAGGAATTGACTCTAAAAGAAAATATCAGAGTTAAGTAAAAGTACTTCAGATTTATATTTATACTGTTTGACTCAGCTGATGACGTGTGTGCTGCTGCATGTGACTGAATAATGAAGTTTAACTGTCCAGGGCACAGGAAGAGAGAAAGCTTTCAGCCTCTCCCCCTCCCCCTCCCCCTCTGCCTCCTCTCTAACGAGCAAACCACTGTCACCTTCTCAGTATTTAGAGTGATGAAATCTACAAAATCAACATTGTGACAAATATATAACGAAGTCAGAAATCCCTTACAACAGACTTTGATGTAGTTATGAATGATTATGAATATTTAATTATTATTTGTCTACATTTCTTTGCATTATTATCTGTTCAGCTGAGCCTCCGCACTCTACAGTTGTTACAACATATATGAATACACGTATCTTCTACTTGAATCCATTAAAAAACATTTATTACATATTTGTATACCACGTATTTTACGGTTTTGCACGCAAATATAAAACGTATAGAACATGGTGGTTATTCTCCTTTGATTAAATACAAAAATATATAAGATATCAAATGCAATAGACGCCACAATCTTACACACAAAGAAAAAAATGGAAAAATTAAGTAAAAAAATTCTCAAAACTAGAGTTAAGAACTTCTTACACTTTACTTCTATTCTTAAAATCCCAACATGGTGGACGTACAGTCGTCAGTTGCATCAGTTTCCTTCAGAAAACTAACTGCAGAGAAACGTGATGCATCATGTTTGACAAAAAGAGTTTGATTCCTGCAGCGAACGTATGAAATGTGCAAATCTATTTTAGAGATACAACTATTTTTGAGAGGTGAGGTCATGATAAAACTGAAATGTGATAAACTGCTTTGTGTCCCTTTGAATAAATTCTCTCCGAAAAGAAACGAAAAGGAGCCAGAAGAGTTGCATTGATGTTTTATTCTTTAGGTAAAACATTTTATTCAAAAATAAATTACCACAGATCTTTAAAAGTCGGACAGACGTCTTCTCTAACCCACTCGTCACAATCTATCGGTTTCCGATCAGAATCCAAATATTCACACTTGTTCTATGAACGTTCGTCCTCAGAAAAATTAACGAGAACCCTAAAGCAGCAACTTGTCTCTAACAAACCACAAACTGTTAAATGGAGAAGAAAATAAAAACAGCCACTGTCAAGTGATTCACTATAAAACGTATTCAAAGTTTATTTAAATATTTAATCCAACATACATGCCCGCTCTGTGACACGTCAACACAGACAGAGAGACCGAACAGGACGAGACTGAAACACTGTGGATGGAATCAATGTCAAGAGCTCAGACAGATGTGATGCAGCTGTGTTAACTTAAAGAAACAGAAGGGAGCAGTACATTTCTACGCTTCATTAAATTACATCAAGTCAGGACACCAATGGAAAAGTATTAAAGATTTAGATTTGAGGAAAAGAAAAGATTTAGATTCAGATTTTTTAGAGAAAAGAAAAAAAGAAATAAGAGACAATATGTTGACAGTTAAAGGAAAAGGTCAAAGTTTTAGAAAACGAGTTTAGCAGTTAAATACAAAGCTATAGCCAGCCGACAATTAGCTTAGCTTAGCATAAAGACTGGGGGGGGTCTGTGCTAAGCTGCTTCCGCTTCATATTTCTCCAACAGATTTCAGTGTGAATCATCTCTCAGCAAATAAATGTATTTTTTCACAATGACCAAACTTTCCTGTAACAGTGATTTGGGCTAAAAAAAAATCCCAAAGGCAAAAATCAAACTTGCAGCCTGCGTGTCGTCAGATGAGAGGACGCAGTCGGAGCTGTGGTGGATTGAATGAAAGGCAGTGGAGGATACCTGGGCTCTAAAAGCTCTTAGCTTAGCGCTAATGCTACAACACAGCACCATGCAGAGGATCTGCTACAAGACACTAGAGGCCAAATAAAACACGTCAGTTCTAAAATAAAGCCTGCTACAGTCGTCTTCAGTATTACCGTCAGAGTATTTAAGGATGAGACAGATGTGTACAGAGGTTCTGTCAAGAAGAAACATGAGGCCAGTTTGATTTTACGAATTAACCCGGTGAACACACCTTCTAGATTTAGAGTTAAAAAGCTGAATGAATGGAGGTGAGCAGGTGAGTTATTAATATGTCAGAGCAGAAATAAAATGTTTCAGCTCCTGTTCATTTCAAATATGAAACAAAAATCGATTTACCAGAACAGGACAGACTGGAAATGTAACTGTTAAGACAACCTCCAACACGAGAACATGTGATCTGCGTTAACTTTAAATCTTAAAAATCAGTTTTCTGGTTTTACTGAAATAACGAAAAAGAGAGAAAAACAATCACCTCAGTTATTGTTCTCAGCTGATTAGTCACTTGTGCTTGTAGGAAATGTTCTTGAACTGTGTGTCCTGTAACACTGAACTGTTAAATGCACAGGTAAGTGTTTGCATCTATTGTTGATAACAGCTGCACAGCCCTGACAGATTTCCCTGAATTACAGCTCCATCGCAAAGTCGCTACCAGCAAAACTGTGTGTGTGTGTGTGTGTGTGTGTGTCTACAGTGTACATTACAACTATCCCAGCGTGGCACACAGGAGGAGATGCTTTTCCTTCAGGTTTTGGCGAGAGGTTGAAACTGCCGGCTCCTCTCCTCGGTCCTTCAATAAACATGCAGTTTCTGCTCTGAGGCACAGGGGGGCGATGAAGAGCAGCACAGACGGTAAACAGGTCAACGATGTCATGATGGGTGTTTGTGGGAGGAAAAGCTTTGGTGTTGAACTAGTTCCACAGTTCTAGGACTGAAGACGTTGAGTGAGTGGGCGGGGGGAGGATAAACATGATGAGGAAGAGGAGGAGGAGGAGGAGTGTCAATGAGTCTTTAACTTGGTGTGCTGCGAGCCCTGTTCTGTCAAGCTGGCTTTGAGAGAGTTAACCACCGTCTGTCTGACGTTGTCTTCCATATAATGTTCACTTAACGGCTTCAAAACCTGCAGCAGAGCAAAGAGGAGAGAAAAAGATTTTATTTCAGAAGAAATTAAGTTAACTTGTTTAAAAATTGATGAATGGACAAGGAAACTGAAAGAAAAAAGGTTAGGGAAGAAAAACCTTAAAGGTGAAAATCAATGGAACAAAAAGTGGATGTGGAACAACATGCTGAGCACAGACAAGCCAAACGAGTCACAACAACACCGAACAAAACCTCTTCAACTGAAAAGAACTTCAAATCAGAATCATCCTTTAACATTCATCAGAATAAGATGAATAAAAACCGTCAGGGGCGAGTTCCACTTCCTCGAGATCCTGAGAAGATTCACTCCTGTCAGTGTTCAGGGGCCAAAGAGTCAGAGTCCAGCACCAATCAAGTGAAAATGAACCAATGGAAGCAAACAAGCTGCAGCAGCTTCAGCACGAGAGAAAGTTTGACACCGTGAATCCAGCGGTCACTGAGCAACTAGTAATTCTTCTTGTAGTTATTGTTGAGAGGAGTCAGAACGCTGAGTCCCAGCGCCGCTCCCGAAGGAAGGAGAGAGGCAGGCCACGCCAGGCGGCTCCTGACGGGCTCCAAAAGTTTGGAAAACACCTGAGAGGGAACGGGAGAGTTAAACAAGGGAACAGACAGACGAGCACAAAGATGAGATGGACAGATCCAGAAAGAGGAAGTTAAGAAAGTTGGAATCAGGAGGAGACAGAGTAAGTCCACATTAATACGATTACATTTATATTTAAATCACCTGGAAATGCTGAGAGATTATGAATATTTTTACACACGACTCTGCATTTTAAAAGTTAAACAGCTTAATGTTGTCAGAGTGAGAACCATACAAATAATACAAGGAGAGTGGCAGCAGGAGGTGGAGGAGAGAGTCAACAGGAAGGGATGTAAAATCAGGATGTAGAGAACAGCAGGCAGACGTTCAGAAGAACAGGAAGCGACACGTCTCACTTTTCTGACCATCTGCTGCAAAGCATGTGGGGGGGGAGAGACACAGAGGGGGAGGAAGGGTCAGACGGAGACGTCAGAGGAGACAGGAGTTTGTGGTGGACCACGAACACTGAAGAAACATTTGCAAACAAGGAATGAAGAGAGTGAGGAAAATAAAAGTAGGTGCTGAAAGAGTGTCAGTGTCGAGCTGACACGTGAAATGACTCAATGGTTATGAAGTGAAGTGGATAATGGGATGCGGACAGAAGAACAACTGATGGGAGGATTCTGCAACATGAAGAACTTCAAGTTAACTAGAACAGAAAATTACAGTAGAAACACGAAAACTCTTATTATTGTTCCATCCCTGGAGAAAGATGATATAAAACTTGATTTGACTCTAAATTTAAAACTTTGACTTCAACCTCTGTTTTTTCTTTTTAAACTCTTCCTCAGGTCAGATTATGTTTATGTGACACAACAGGAACACATTTCAGAAAAGAACTGAAGAAAACAAAACGTTTCTAATTTCCAGATCTAATATGATCCTAACACCCAAAGACCACGACAAGAACCATTAGAAGACATTTGACTTCTGACAATGTTACATTCAAACAAATCAAAACTGAGCGAACCTGGACAAACACACACACACGTCGACCCACCTGTTCCCAGAGTGTATCGGCCACCAGGTCTATCATCGTTCCCACCTCCCGAAACTCTCCAGAATACTTCACGTATGCCCAGGCGCAGAGGGACAGCAGCGCTATGCCCATTACAAAGTTAGCCAGCGCTGCTAAGGTGGTCAGACCAATGAAGCCGGTCACCCCAGACACCACGTAGGTGACAAACATGACTGCAAACAGCGTGGCGGGTGTGCGTGCTGTGTAGAAGATGTTTTTGCCGTCATTGTGTTTGGAGAAGTTGCTGTAGGCCTCGTTCAGCTCGGACTCCAGCTGGTTCTGGTAGCGCTGGCAGAACTCCTCGCCACCCATTTTCTTCACTGAGCGGAAGTGATGCACAGAGTGCTCGCGAAACTCCTCATGGCAGCGCTCCAGGTCAGCTGGGGCGATGTATGGCTTGTCCCCACCACAGATCTGAGGGGGGGAAGACGTGTGATTAAAGGTGACAGAGGAAACTAATTTGAATGACTAAACTGATGAAGACAAAGATGCTTTCAAATATTACCCATTTAGCAGGATTTTTATTATATTGAATGATTTGAGCTGTTGTGGACTCCTTTAAAACAAACACGTCCTTACCTGCTCCATGTTCTTGCCGTACAAGTCTTTGGCTCCTGCCACAGCAGTCAAGTTATTGGCTTCTGCCGTCGCCTGAGAAATGGGAGACAACAAAAAACAATGATTAGAACCATAAAAATGTGAGTATTGAGATCCAGTGTGCAGGATTTATGTTTTCGTTTGTCATATGACACAAGACACTAATCGTCATTGTACTTCCAAGAATGAGCCCTTTATATCTTCACAGGAATCTGATCTTCTTCCATGAATCCGCTGAGTTTCTACAGTCAACCAAGCAGTGGGTGAGGCCATGGGGATTCAGTTGGTTGCAATATTCAACTTGGCCACAAGATGTCACTAAACCCTGCACACTGAACTCAGGATAAGATCTTTCAGGTTGGAGACACTAACCTGCAGCATGGACTTTGGGTGAGGCAGCTCTTCACCTTGGTAGATCTTTATGTAAGCCTGCAGGAAAATGAAAACAGATAATCTAACCAGTGTTTCCAGTCAAATGTAAATATATTGGCAGCAAACACTGGAACGAGCTGGTAAGTATGAGTGAGAGTATCCTGACAATGTTTAAACAAAAAAACAACATAGAATTTAACACGGACCAACCGTGAAACAAAATTTACTGCAACTATAATTGAGCAGACGTGTTCCCTTCTCTTGTGTATCTTTGTCAAACCGGATAGTTTTAAATAAAATTTGCAAACCACAATTTTTTACACAACTTCATTAATGCGGTTTTCAAGTTTTCTCCTTTTCTCTACAAGGATGTCACTGTTTACAGTCGACTGCGGCTAATTATCAGAACCAATTTTATGCTGTTTATTTAGACAAGGCAGCAGAGTGTATGCTTTGGGGCTTTGGATTTATATTATTGTGACATACAAACTGTGAAAACCAATGGACTTATGTGAAATCCTGCAGGACCTTGAAATACTCCAGGAGATCTCTGCAGGTGACTTTGTTGCCTCCGATCTCCTTCACTACCAGTCGCTCTGGGGCCAGGAGCAGAGGCACCAGCTGGGTAAGCTCCCTTTTAAAATCACCATCGATGTCTGAAACACAAAGCATATATCCTCATTCTCCCGTCGGAGCACGACACTTCAGTCAAGCAGGCTTTAGCGAAACCTTTTTTTTTATTTATTTATTTTTTAAACAGCCATGTTTAGGAGACTGATATTAATGAGTGTGTTTAATTTGGTGGAGCTTCAAATAAAAATCTGGATCTAGTGAATTTAAATGTGATTTCATAGGGGCCTGTTGGGCCTTGGTGGCAGTACATGTTGTGTTCTGAGCTGTACTTCAGCAAATGTGTATGTTCCTGTTATCTCACCTTTAAGCCTGCCGTCAAAGTAGGGGTTGGTGGCCACCTTGAGGCCAGGATGTGGCAGCAGGAAGCAGTTGATGCTTGAGAAGCAGGAGTGGATGTGCTTCCTCACGTTCTGCAGCTCTTCATGTTGGTTGCATTTAACCTGTGTCAGCAGACAACAATGTGCTCATTCAGTGAAACTTGTCTTTGACATTTCCTGGTGTGTGAATTTGTGTGCACATGCTGGAGTAAGCAAACATTTGAACAGGCAATGAAATTATGTGTGTATGTGCTTTTCAAAAGGAGGCGTGGTGTCTGACAGCAAAAGTGAGAGTGAACCGCTGCATTAATATCAAGGTGAACAGATATCAGGACAGAAAAATATTTCACCTGTCCAACCAACAATCCAACAAAAACAAATGTGCAGTTTTCCAAAGAAGATATTCTCACCTGTAGTCTTTTGTCCAAGAAGGCGTTGCCACCTTTCAGACCGTAGTCATGTTCATAAGGATAACTCCAGTCACGAATCAGGAACATCAGGGACTGCAACACACAACCAACGAGAGACACAATGAGACACATGAGATGTAATCTTTTTTTAAATTTTTTTTTTTATCTGTTGACTTATCTGGTGTTTGAAGTTATGTGGTCCAATCTACTAGAAATTACATCTCCTAATTCTTTTTTTTTTTTTTTTTTTTGACATTAGCCTTCTTTATAGGCCTGCACCAAAACCCTGCTGAAAGCTTTGCTGAGCAACTCGTCAAACCTGTATG